TCCCTTCCCTTCCCCTCCCCTTCCCTCCCGGAATTACTCTTTAAACTGGCATTTTTTTCTCTATTCCAAACCCCCCACATCTCCCATTCTGATTCTGTCCCCCACCCCCATGCTGCTGCTATTTACAGAGGAGCTGGGAAGAGCAGGAAAACTGTATTTAGATTAAAAAATTCCATTAGCCAGCAAGAACAGCCTGGACGGCTCCAAAGCCCCTCCCTCCAGATTCCACCTCCCTCTGGACTGATAGTGCCACAGGGAGCGCTGGCCACTGGTGCCATGAAGATTTTTCATCCATCTTCACGTCTCCTGCAAGGAAAACTCCAAACAATGTCCCCTCCAGCCTCTTCCGCAGGAATCCTGTGAATGCCATCTCCTGGGCACAGGCATTGTTCAGGGAAGAATCGGAGTTACTGTTTGCCTTGGATTAATTTCCCTCCTTGTTTCACTTCCGCTTATTAAAGCTGGGAAATGACACAGCTCATCCGAGCGCTGCTGACTTCAGCTGCACCTTCCTCCCAGGACTTCTCCCCGACACAGCACCAGGCTCTGGATGCCCAGAGCATCCCTGGGATGCAGCCCCTTCAGCACAGCAAGAGCCAGGAGCCTCCTTCTTCCTTCTCTTTTTCCTCCTTTTCCTTCCTTTTCCCCTCTATTTTGGTTCACGTGTTGAGTTTTCCTTCAGGAAAAGTGTCATTCCCTCGCTGCTCTGTTTTTGTGGCAGATTTTGTTGGATTTTGGAAAAAAAAACCCCACCTTTTAATAATTAAAAAATAAAGATATAAAAGCAGAACTATGAAGCAAAATAGGGATTTGGGGAATAGGAAGCAAGGCATGGAAAAACCCTTAGTCTGCCTCCTTTCTGTGGCTGCAATGGGTTTGCTCCTTGTTGCTAGATGTGAATAATCAGTAAGAAAAAAGACAAAAAGAAAAAAAAAAAAGGAAAATAGAATGGTTTCCTTTTCCATCCAGGAACACAATTCGAGGTCTGCACCTGGGATGCAGGATGCTGCTGGGAACTTCCAGCTGGTCACAGCTAGGGAAGAGCAGCTGTTTCCCCCTTTAGCACCTTATGGCACATTTTATCCAGGTCCCTTTCCCTTAATGAATTCTCCAAGTTTTCCCAATTTTTGCAAGTCTTACACCATCACACCTAGTTCTGGAGTCATTCCCAGCCCTGAGTCAGCAAATCCCACTGAATTCTGACTCCCACACCAAGGGTTTGTCCATCCAACCCCACCCACTCATCTGATAAGCCATAACCATCCTCAGGGATCTTCCTCACCCCTTCCCTCCCCATTCCTTTAATCCCAGGAATTAATTTTAACCCTTCCCTGCTCCCCCAGTGCCTCCCGGCTGAGCCGCTGGCCCCAGCCCTGCTGGGATTCTTCACAGCAAGTTCAAATTTCTGCTTGGGTTGGGATTTTTGAGTTTTGATGTTATTCTTGTGGAGGAGGGAGAGGAGGGTCTTGTGAAGAGGAGGATTTGAAGAGATTCACTTCCTGCTCGGCATTCCTGGGCACTTAACCCTTTGCCAAACATCTCCCTGTGGATGGAGGAAGCTCCTTCTGCAAAGCACAGGGAACCCCAGGGAGGCTGGGAACCAGCTTTGGGATGCACTGCAAAAAATTCTACAGTTGAGTCCACTGTTGGTAGGGAAAAAAGTCTGCTTTGGGGAATTTTGGCTTACAATTTATTAGAATCCTTAAAATCTACAGAAATCTTTGGTTTAAAATCAACAAGAGGCGAGATGAGCTTTGAGGCCACTCCCAACCCCTTCCATGATTCCGTGGCCCTGCACCCCAAAAGAGAGCTCCTCCTTTACTATGCAAGACTCATCTTGTTCTTTGCTGGTTTTCTAACCTTCAAGAGTCACCAAAATAGTGTTTTTACAGCACGTGATTCACCTCAATCTCTTTCGCTTCCCCTTTTCCTTCCTCCTCTGCTCTGCACCCATTCCCACCTGAATCCCGCCGGCTCCTCGCAGGAGTTCTGCTATCGCCTTTTCCCCAGGGCGTTTTGACCCACTATAAAATAAAATAAATCCATGACCACTCACGTTTCTTCCTCCTGATGAAGAAACTGAGGCACGGGAAGGGGAAATGAAGCCAAGACAAAAAAATCCCCCAAGATTTTACGGGAAGTTGGGACGGACTCTGGCTCCCAGTCAGCATCTCTGCCTTTTCTCCCTGAAGAATTTGCTATTTATAGCTCTGCTTTGCTCCTTTAGAACATAATCAAAACCATCCTCCCTCCGTACGAGAACTCATCTAGCGGCACTAACCCTCCCGGGGGAAAACTTCCCGAAATTTGCAGTTCGGCCTCTGCAAACGGGAACCTTCCACCGGTGCGGACAGCGCAGGGAACACGCTCAGCCCGGCACTACTCCAGTCCCGGGCACAAGCCGGGCTCCCTCCCACGCCACCGAGAAGGTTGCTCGGCTCAAACCCCCCCCGGCTCATTTCCTGCTTTCGCGGGGAAGGCTCCGCAGCGTCCCGCGGAGAAGGAGCGGCGCCGCTCCGGCAGCCGACACCCAGCGGAGGACGATGAGGTTCTGCATCGCGGTGCTCCTGGTCCTTCAATCCCTGCCGGGTAAATGACGCTCCCCGCGTTTTCCAGGCTTTTCTAAGGGCACTTTGATTTTAGCTCGCTGCTCTGATTGTTCCCACGCTCCTGGGATGCCGCGGGGAGGTTGCGGGTGGGTGGGGAGTGGGGGGAGGCTGAAAGATTTTGGAGGGATTTTCTTGGAGAAAGGGGGCTGCAGGGGAAAAAAACCACCGGGAATACACGATGTAAATTACTGAAAGTTCCATAAAGCCTGTGCTTAGAGAACAGTGGGATAGTGAAGGTTTCCCGCATTGTGTTCAAATCATTTGCAAACTCCAGCTGGGAGCTATTAAGAGACACAGAGAAAAAGCCCCAACAGGATTTCCTGAGAGTTACGTGGGCCGTTTGAGATGGGGAAGAGTGGAATCAGGGTATCGAGGGAAGAAAACCCCAATCTGGAGCTGTTTAAGGATGAGCACGATATTGTCCCATCTCTGGGCAGGTTAGATACAGAGCAGCACCGACCGAGGAGAACTGGAAACTGCAGCTCTGTCATGCCCGAGAGCCTCTCTCTCTCTTCCCCTTTCTCTTCACCAAAGGAACGAATTCAAACATGAAACATCAGAGGATTCCCAGCTGGAAGCTCTTTTCAGGACAAGGTTGCCCTGTTATTAGTGTGACTCCAGTGTAAACAAGAACCAGCTTGGAGTGACTTTCTGGGAAAGCTCCGTGCTCGGGATAAGGTGCCCCAGGGCTCAACGCTGCCGAGCATTACCAAAGGATGAGCGTGGGAAGGAGCGGGGGGGTGGGGCAGGTCCCGATTTCAGTCCAAATTTCCCCAAAAGCTCAGGGTGGGAGTGGGACAGGTCGAGGTGTTTGACCCCGTGACGGGTGAGGCCGCGCTGTGTCCCTCCTGCAGAGCCCCAGTCACACCCTGGAATCTTCAGACTTAGTCATTGATTTCAGAGAATTCCCTAATGAGAATTCTGGAACTTGGGCTTCCCCGCCAGGCTTTGCCAGTGCTGAGAAATCAGGGATATGACAGGAAGAAATGGGAGGGTTTGGAGAGGAACCTGGAGCTACAGCATGACTGACAGCATCATTCCAGCTATTCATGATGTCACTTATAATGACAGTACTATAATTACCTTATTTGTGACTATAAATGAGTATCAAACTATAAAAATATCTTATTATTCCTTATCTTCCATTCTCATGAGTATCTCGGTGTATGAATCTGTGACTATTAGAACGTTAATATTCCCAATTAATTTCCTTTAAAAAATCCTCCCAAAACCCAAGAAAACATACAAAATGTTATGTTTGGAATAGGGAATCAGCCACTCGCTCCAACCGTGACAATGTCACATGGGTCAGAATTTATTTATAGTGGCTCAGCCCTAAGGAAACTTGAAGGTCCCTTGTGAGCCCTTGGCAGCCAAAGGCACTGGAGCAGCTGGATCCTGGATGAGAGGCTCATCCCAGGGCAGATCCAGCCCAGCTCTGGGTCTGGGGTGCAGGAGCACAGCCAGAGGCTCCATCCCCACCACTGCATCTCTCACATCCACACCCAAAAACAAAGGAAAACCCCAGCACTGGTCTGACCTCCCACACTTTGAGTTGGGATCTAATGATGGCTCAGGTTGTAAATCCATCAGTCCCACAGGAAAGGGGTTTTGCTCAAAGCACCAATAAATCAATGAAACTTCCCATGACCCGGCACCCACGGCTTGACCCGAGGCTCCTCATGGTGATCCCTGTGTTGTTCCTTTGCTTTCAGGGAAGGCAGAGCTCCAAGATGACATGGAGGAGATCGCACAGGATTTATATGACTACATGGCTCATTTAAGTGAGAAATGCCTTTTTTTTTTAAGCATTCTTACCATTTTCCACAAGCCACGGGAGCGAGTTGGGATAACCAGGGCTAGGAAGGGATTAATTTGAGTTACAGATTAATCCAGATTAATTTGAGTTACACTGGCTGCTCAGGGGGAAAAGCTGGGTGATCTCAGCCCAATCCCCATAGTGCCACCTCACCTGGAGCTGTTTCCATTCCAGGCAATTACTATTCTTCCACAGAAGATTATTACTATGACAACATCACAGCAACCCCTGCCACATTCGTCTATGAGTTTGATTCCTACGAGGTGAGTTGGGTTTTTCTTGGTATTCCCCTAAAAACCAGGTTTTCCTCACCCAAATCTCTTCTGCAAGGAAAAACAAATGGATCAAACTTGCCTATTTTAAGACTACAGAACAAGTCAAGTGAGTTTGAGTAGAGTGTCCATGAACAGCAATCATGGAATGGTTTGAGTTGGGATTTATTTCTCCAGTTTGCACAGAAACAGTGAGAAATTCCTTGTTTTCTCACTTAAATACCATCAAAGCCATTCCAAGGAGGGATCTCTCTGCACAGGAGTTAATCCTATGCTGTGACATCCTAGGTTATTTCTTTTTCTCCACATCCAGGCAAACACCATTGAGTATGTGGATTGGGAGAAGTTGTTTTCAGAAGAGAATGCCACCACCGAGGTTTCAGAAGTACCAAACACAAATGCTCCAGAGGATTCCAGGGATGCCAAGGACAGTCAGGTGGGTGCCTGTCAGCTCAGGACTCTGCCACAGGGTTTTAGCACAATAAAACATGCGACTTCCTGACTGATTTTATTTTCCTTGGCTCACCAGGATTTCCAGGAGTCATTTGGATTGTCCCTGCAGGGCCACCTCACCCTCATCATCCTCCTCAGCTTCCTGGGTCTCCTGCTATGATGCCCAGACTCCTCCTCCAAAGGTACTCCGGGATTTCAACACTCAAAGTGTGTCCTTGAACCCAGGGAAATCCAATTCTTTCTGAAGCAGCAACTTTCCAAAACAATGGAAAGATAACAAGCCTTTCCAGGCAGGTAACAGCCCATCCAACTGTGGCATCAGGGAACTCCCCAGCAGCTTTGACCACCACTGATGGCCTGGAGAGGCTTTCCAGGGTGTTTTCCCTGTTGGTATTCAGTGGGACCTTCACGGGGTGTGAGGAACCAGGCACCTCCTGCTGCTCCTCCACCAAAACACCCTTCCACAAAACCCTGGAACGGTTTGGGTTGGGATGAACCTCACAGACCAGCTGGCTCCACCCTCCTGCCCAGGTTCCTCCAAAGCTCCATCCCACCTGGCCAACTTTTTCCCACAGCTGGAGCTCTCCAACATCCCAGGAGGTGGCCAACCTCCATCCTGCCACACCCTGCTCACCTTTTTCCCTCCTTCCAGACACCGTGGCTGGGATGGCGACCAGGACATTGTCAGGTGTTGACGATGACATCCTCTCCACGAGGTGTTGTCTCTGTTCCAGAACTGCTGAGATGTTTTGTCTGGAGGTTTTGGTGGAAGAGCCGGTGCCGCCCTGGCGGCGCGAGCACGGAGAGCTCAGCAACCTTTCAGTCCTTTCCTGTTTCCTTGGATTCCGCTGTAAATAAGAACCTCTGCCAATAAAATCCCCAACACCTGGTGCACGGTGTCTCGTGGTAAATAATCCAGGACTGGAATAACAAATGCAAACAATGCATGCACGTGCTTGTCCCGTCAGAAGGATTTCTCAAGCCTCTAAACCCAGCCAGGAGCTTCCAACTTTGTTTCTTCCAGAACTGCTCTTCACACTGTTTATTTTCCAAAACACACACAATATCTGGGTGTGATGAGAAGCTGGATCAGAAAACCTCCCACCACCCCAACCCCCCCATGGAGAGCAAACTGTTACAGAAATGGATGATTTTGGCCAGGAAATCAGAGTTAAATTCCTTTTGGTGGGGGGAAAAAAAATGCAATCCCACACTTGGTACCTATGTTGCTTTTCCTTGGGAGAGTTAGCAGGAAGGAGAGATGGAAAACTGGCCCAGGTGTACCCAGGTAACCCTACAGGACAAAAGATGAGTCAAGCAACAGGAGAACCGTGGTGGTCACAGTGCCCAGACCCCGGGGGAATCTCCAGCTGCCATCCCACCTGCGGAGCAGCCCCGGGGCCAGCCCACCTTTCCCAGGTTATCCAAGCCCCCAGCCTTGGAAAGAAGAAAATTTTGTTTCCCGCGGAAGGTAAAAAGCTCGAAACGCGTTGGGAAGCGGCGGGAGGAGCGAGAGCGGATGCGCTGCCTGGCAGTGCCACCTCCTGGCTCTGTGCTGCCATAAAGGTGGACTGAGAAAAGCCAAGAACGCCCCGGAAAATTATTCAGGATCACTCAGCAGTGAGATTTCCAACCCTGGAGTGGAGTAAAAAGCAATTAAAGGGAAATAAAATATGTGGATGAAGGTTATGAGTTTATTTCTAAAAATCATCCCTCCAATGCAGAAAATAAACCAGTTTGTTGTAACCTGGCCTAACTATAAATTGAATCACTCTTCCAGTGCAACTCCTCAGACCAAATCCTCAACTTCCAGCAGTGTTTTGGGACACAAACACACCACGTGTGACAGCTGGACATTCCTTCTCTGCTCCCAAATATTCATCCAAACCTCTTTAGACCCCTCTTTAGACACCATCCTCCTGGCTCTTTCACAAGTTTCTTTCCTAGATTTACCCTTTTCCCCCCACTCTGAAGGTGGTGGCTCCATGGCCACTTCTCCATGAGCAGCTGCCCAGCTCTCCTGGCAAACTCCTGGGATAAGCAGCTTTAACACAAAGAGGATTTTCCCTGCAGTTGTGAGAACTTTTCCCAGTTACCTCCCAGTAGGAAGCAAGCAGAAGGCTCTCCAGGTCTCTGGTGTTCTCCAGCAGCTCCTTATCAAACCATTCCAGAAATATTTGTTCTATGGAGTTTACACAAAGCTGGAACAAGCCCGAGATGTTGGTTTTTGTTTTGATTTGTTTTTTTTTTAATTCTGTCACCAAGTTGCCAAAATGTCTCCAGTTGTGTTTCCAAAGTTAAAAGAGTCAAGATGTAAATATTTAGAACTGCTTGTCCCAGAATTGTCCTGCCTGGGCATGAGGGATATCGGTGGCTCACAGGCTCTTTTCAAGGATCATTTTCCAGGAGAAAAGCTTCACTAGAGAAACACTCATTAATTATTAATTTTAAATAGGAAAATAATTTCCATAGGGACATAAATCTTATCTATCCACCTGGGAAGATCTAAATTACACATATACAACTAGAGAGGAATATAAATCCCATCTATCCACCCCAGGGGGGTTATAAATCCCATACATGCAACCCGAAGGGGATACAAATCCCATGTATCCGCACAGAGTGGGATATGAGGCTTGGATTTTAGGAATTGGGCTGCTCCCCAGAGCTGTGAACCTGCCGCCCCTCCCCGATGCGTTGGCAGGTCAAGCAGCCGCGACCCCCGAGCCTGCCTGCCCCGTGCCTGGGATGGCGACCAGGACATTGTCAGAGCCGCGACCCCCGACCCCCGCCCATCCCAGAGCCGCGACTCCCGACCCCCGCCCATCCCAGAGCCGCGACCCCTCAGAGCCGCGACCCCCGCCCATCCCGGAGCCGCGACCCTCAGAGCTGCGACCCCTGACCCTCGCCCATCCCAGAGCCGCGACCCTTCAGATCCGCGACCCCCGCCCACTCCAGAGCCGCGACCCCCGACCCCCGCCCGCCCCAGAGCCGCGACCCTCAGAGCCGCGACCCCCGACCCCGCCCACTCCAGAGCCGCGATCCCTCAGAGCCGCGACCCCCGACCCTCGCCCATCCCGGAGCCGCGACCCCCGACCCCCGTCCACTCCAGAGCCGCGACCCCCGATCCCCGCCCATCCCAGAACCGCGACCCCCGACCCCCG